GGAAAAATTCCAACGACTTACCAACAAATTTGCAACAGAAATGTTTTATAACATTATCAATAAATTCTCATAATGCAGTTACTAAATAATTTCGTTGGTAAATTTTACTAACATAAGCCAACAATATGTGGATGCTTGGATACAAATTTTTCTAAAAATATCTAACCATTTTCAACAAATCGTTTTTTTTTTTTTTTTTTTTTTTTTTTTTTTTTTTTTTTTTTTTAATTCAAATCTAACTCTAACTTAACTCCACTATCCTAAATATTATCAATAAAATCAAATAATATCAATTATTCATCATTACACATTACATAAATTTTAATTCAGTATCATCTACCCTACTAATTTTAACTATCCATCACTTCATATAATCTCTCTCCTATTATTTTTTTATTTTTTTTTTAATTTTTTTTTTATTTTTTTTATTTTTATTTTTTTTTACAAGAATAGAGGCTAAAGCCTAAGCAACACTAGAGCGGTACTCGACGAGGGTAATCCACACCAATAATATCATGCATCAGCCAAGGACCAAGCTCCGGCGGCGGATTCTGAAGACGGTGGTAGCCAACCGGGACACTTGTAGCCAGTGCAGCTAAAGCATCGGCCGAGAAATTTCCTTCCCGATGAATATGGGACACATGAACTGACCATTCTTGTCCGAGTAATTATCGGATCGCTCGAACAATATTATCATGAAACCCTAAGCTCTCCTCAGACCACGTGACCATATTTACGACACTGCTATTATCCACTTCTACTAACATCTGTCTCTCTCCTAGCTCCGCACTTGTTATAGTACATTAACCCACATTCATGAGAAAGCCATCGGGCCAACGACCATTAAAGTCCCGGGCTAACCCACCGGCGCTACCACTTCCATTAGTAGAACAAAGAGCCTCTTCCGTACTAATTTTGACCCAATCCGGCGGCGGAGGTGTCCAATGTATCATTATCGACTCATACTGACGACCTATAATACCCAAAGAAGCCTCGCACGACGTAATGTTACTTTAACTTAACTCCACTATCTTCAATATTATCAATATAATCAAATAATATCAATTAATCATCATTACACATTACATGAATTTTAATTCAGTATCATCTACTCACGTAATTTTAACTACCCATCACTTCATATAATCTCTCTCCCAATTTTTTTTTATTTTTTGGTACAAGAATAGAGGCTAAAGCCTAAGCAACATTAGAGCGGTACTCGACGAGGGTAAGCCACACCAATAATATCATGCATCAACCAAGGACCAAGCTCCGACGGCGGATTCTGAAGACGGTGGTAGCCAACCGGGACAACTGTAGCCAGTGCAACTAAAACATCGGCCGAGAAATTTCCTTCCCGATGGATGTGGGATACATGAACTGACCATGCTTGTCCGAGTAATTCCCGGATCGCTCAAACAATATTATCATGAAACCCTAAGCTCTCCTCATACCACGTTACCATATTTACGACACTGCTATATATTATCCACTTCTACTAACACTTGTCTCTCTCCGAACTCCCAAGCCAACCGAAGTCCATGAAAGAGCCACGTTAGCTCCGCACTTGTTATAGTACATTAACCCACATTCATTAGAAAGCCATCGGGCCAACGACCATTAAAGTCCCGGGCTAACTAATCGGCGCTACCACTTCCATTAGTACAACAAAGAGCCTCATCCGTATTAATTTTGACCCAATCCGGCGGCGGAGGTGTCCAATGTAACATTACCGACTCGTACTGACGACCCATAATACACAAAGAAGCCTCGCACGACGTAATGTTACTTTAATTTAACTCCACTATCCTCAATATTATCAATATAATTAAATAATATCAATTAATCATCATTACACATTACATCAAATTCATCTACTCACGTAATTTTAACTAATTATCATTTCATATAATCTTTCTCTTAATTTTACATCAAATCAATTTAATTATTCTATTTTAAGAATTACTTTAATATAAATTCAACATAGTTACGGAATTGACAATGGATTAGCAACATTTTTTCCCAACAAATTACCATTGGAATTTTTGCCAACGAAATATCAATGAAATTTTCATACACATTAACAAAATCCTTCAATGATATATGATATGTCTGTTGGTGTTCGTTGGCAAATAAATATGTATATGTTGCAAATCAGTTGGTATTTACCAATGGAAGATATCTATTACTATAAAATAATAATAGGGATTTACTTTAAATATATAGTAAAATCTCGTTTAATAATTTGGATTTTACTACAGTTTATAACTTTTTAAATTCTTTGAAAAATTGGCGATTGATATGTAATTTGAATTTCAATTTCAGACTTCAAAAGAAAATATCATAAGCAGATTTTTTTTGGATGCGTTCCATTTTATCTTAACTTACATATAATCACATTCGTAACGAACATTAAATATGCTTATATACTCTTAAATTAATTACATGAATAAATGATATTAATTATAAATGAAATATTTATCATTATATAAAAGAATGATATTATTTCTATGAGGGTTCTAAATAATAATGACATTATACGACAATAAATTTTTGAATAAAATAACATTTGAGTATTATGATGAACCGAGATATGTAAAATTATTATTTTTTTTGTATTTAAAAAATAAATATATATGTTAAAATATTATTTATGTTGATATAAATGGTCAGCGACTGATATATTGTTAAAAAAAAATTTGAAAAAATATTCTAAAGTACAAAATCCCCGTGCATCGCACGAGATTCTCACTAATTTGTTGGAAAATAGCAACAAAATATTCAGTTGTTAATACGGTTATGAACAAACCATTGCAATTTAATTGGTATTTATCAACGAAATATTCTTGTTAATAAAATTGTAAACATTTTTAATCAGTTGATATTTATCGACAAAATATCTTCTTTGCTATTTGGCAATATTTTCTTTGAGAAATGATTGATAATATGTTTGTTGGTGTTCCATTGTTATTTTTTCTAAGAGTGAAATCTCTTCTTTGAATAGACTATTTCCCCCCACCCTCGAAAAGCATCTCTTCCGCGTAGTTCATTGCCAAGCAGCAAACAATGAGGACATTTGGTCCTACTAGGGGTGCTAATTGGTAGCTCAATGTGCTATCTTCGCTATCAAAGGGGCGTATTTTTCTCTCGATTCTGCTTCTCCTTTCAGTCGAGCTTCATTTGTCTTCTGTCCTGGCAACGTTGAGTCTCACTTCACTATCCTTTCGCGTCGAGTTAATAGCATCGAACCTTTTGTATAGTTTTTCTACATCGTTGACATTGAGCTGCAGCTGCAACATGAGATGAACATACAACAACAATCCAAGGCATCCCCGAGTAAAAGCTTCCACGGCCGATTGGCCAAAATGAGGATCCCTAATTGCACGAGCAATAGGCTTTACATGTAAATTGCAATGGGGAGTGATATGAGTTAATCAATTACAGTTGACAAAAAACGTAAGGGCAAATACCAGTTTAACGTAGGGCAGTAGTGATTTAGAAGCAATCGTCGACGACCGCTGGTCTTTTCCCTTTCTCTCATCAACACCCTCAAAGTCAGTAGCGACGTCCTGAGGACTGAGGAACGATAAGGTAGTCCCACATGAACATTCAGATTCTTTATTCCATTTTGCGACGCCATCCAAGGGTCAAAGTTGTTGCAATATTTTATTAGTATTCTATTGATAATCTATATTTATATAAAAAAAGCCATCATATTTACTAGTATTAGTAGCAAAAAATAGGTCAGCATTTAATGCAACCCATAAATAGTAGTTTTATTATTTTTTTTATTTTTTCTTTAATAATCGTACAATTTAATGTATAAATACGCTTTAAATAATCATACAGTTTAATTTATAAAAATAATACAATTTAATTTTTTCTTTAAAAATACACTTATATATATATATATGTATATGTATATATATATGGTACTTTTTGTAATAAATTTGAATAAAATGTGTTACTTAAATATCTAAATAATTTAAAAATTCAAATGTTTAAATTAATTGATAAACAATTTATAAATTTCAATTTTATTAACGTACGTAATTTTATTTAAAATAATTTTAGATATACCGAAATTTATTTAGAAAATCGTATCGAACCTACCAGTTCAACCGACTGTGTTGACGGATTCAATAGCAAATAATTTGTTCAAGTGAACTAGACTGATTATAAACTGGTTCTCGGTCCATCCGGTCGGACTGTGTCCAACACTGTTTAATTTAAAAACGATGGACAAATCTTGATTAATTTATTTGTATATTTAATTTATAACGCAATCGTAATATTGTTTTTCCGTGCATCGCACGGGCCCCGCACTACTTTTTATAAAACAATTATATATATAATGAATTATTAATCCGTCTACAAAAATATTTTTGTTTGTAATTTTTGTTGCCTTGTAGCGTGGATTAAATTGTTGTTAAACAATTTTTTTTTTTTTTTTTTT